CCCCCGGGCACCCCGAGCCGGCACGAGAAGAGCTTGGGGCTTCTCACTACCAAGTTCGTGTCGCTTCTGCAGGAGGCCAAGGACGGCGTGCTTGACCTCAAGCTGGTGCGGTCCGGCCTGCGGGGCGGCAGAGGGGATGTTGGAATAGGCCTGGGCAGGTAGCGGGAACTCCTGGGGCGACCCAGCGGAGCCCTCGGGGAGCAAGCCGCCATCCGGGTGCTTTCTCACAAGTGGGAGGTCGGGAGCTGTTTCGTTCATTCGGCCGAGGCCACTGGGTGTCAGCCCTGTGCCAGGCTCAGGGCTGCAGGTGCTGGTCCTCGTGGCCCTCCCTGCCCGGGGAAAAGAGCATCGGAACGTCCGTGTAGTTTGTGCCGGGCCTCTTTCCACCCTGCGGTCCTGAGCTGCTGTGATGCCTGGGAGGAGGGTTGGGCCTGTCCACCCCCTTTCCAGCCCCCTCCAGGCCGAGTCTGCAGGTAGCTGAGGGTACACCTGAGAGTGGGGCTGAGCATCCTCCTCTCTGTTCTCTCTGCCAGGCAGCTGACACCCTAGCTGTGCGCCAGAAGCGGCGGATCTACGACATTACCAACGTGCTGGAAGGTATTGGGCTGATCGAGAAAAAATCCAAGAATAGCATCCAGTGGAAGTGAGTAGAGGCACCTGGGAGGGCAATGGGATCGATCTCCCATCCGGAAGTGTTGGGTGGGCGGTGGAGGGTGCAGGAGAGAGCAGGGTCCATGGGGCCCAGAGCTCCTGGCAGGCCTCCTCAGCCCCCCTCCCTGGGCTCAGGGGCGTGGGGCCTGGCTGTAACACCCGGGAGATTGCGGACAAGCTGATTGAGCTTAAGGCAGAGATCGAAGAGCTGCAGCAGCGAGAGCAAGAGCTGGACCAGCACAAGGTGTGGGTGCAGCAGAGCATCCGGAACGTCACAGAGGACGTGCAGAACAGCTGATATCCTCCTGGCAGCCCCTGCTCCTGGGGTGTGGGCGAGGGGCCCTCTAGTCCAGCTGGGTTTGCATTGTGGTGTCCTGGCTCTGTCCCTCTGGGGAGGATGGTCCTGCAGCTCCTGGCCGGGTCCCAGCCTCCTGCTTCCCTCTCAGAGCCCCTCTCCCACCAATCTTGGTCTGTGATCCTTCCCTTCTAGACCCCAGACCCCAGGACTTTCTCCGAGGGCTTGTATGTTAGACCTCTGCTGAAGAGCTGGGTCTTCTGTGTGGTCTGCCATCTGTCAGCATAGGCAGGGCATCAGTCTTTCTCCTTAACCCCCACACCTTGGCCTACGTGACTCATGAGGACATCTGCAGATGCTTTGCTGGTGAGCAGAGCCTGAGTGGGGGAGATGGGGTTGGGGCTGGGCTGAGACACAGCCCTGAGCAGTGGGTTCAGTATCTAAAGAGAGTTCTGTCTCTTAAGAGGGTTGCCGGGGCCTTCCCAAAGAGGAGTCAGGCAGGGCGAGTCCTGGGTGAGAGGATCACTGGAGCCCTATGGGGGCCAACCATACTGAGGGGATACAGGAATTCTGGGCTGGGTCTCTAGGTCAGTCCCCATCTGCATGGTGCCTTGGGTTTGGCTTCTCAGGTGTGAAGAGCAAACATAAGGGGAAAGTGTGTGTGTGTGTGCGTGTGTGTGCGTGTGTGCGTGCGCGTGCGCTCCTGCGTGCATGCTTGTATGCAGGGGGCCATGATGCCCCCTTCCAACCTGCAGTTCAGTTGCATTGTGGATACAGGAGCTGTTTCTCCTCTGTCTTTGCTCCCCCAGACTGGTCCTGGGGAAGGGATGTTGGCCTTGGCCAGAACACCTGTACCTAAGGAGCAGCCCTCAGTTGGGGAATGGGATACTCATGGCCAGCAATTTTTTGCTCCACATGTTTAAATTCAGATTTTCTGGTTATTCACCCCTGGGGTCTTAGAAGGAGAAAAGCTTTAGTTTTCTGTCCCAGCCACTATGGGGATTGGGTGTCTAGCCCCTCAGAGACCATGGTCTTCCTGCTCCAAGGAACAGGAACCCCCATTCCCAGCTCAGATTGAACCCCTGGGCCCTGACCCATCCCCCTTGTTATTCTAGG